TCCTGCTTCTGGCAATCATTGTGCAAGGCCCTTGAAATAAAGACCAACCTATTGAACACCTATCATCCAGAGACTGACAGACAAACAGAATTAGTAAACCAGACTTTATAATAGTATCTCCACCTCTATATTAATTCTTTACAGAATAATTGGCACACAGAACTCCCCCTTGCTAAGTTTACCTACAATAACACCCCTCACTCCACCACCAGAGTTTCTCCTTTCTATGCTAACAAAGAATACAACCCCAAGATCACCCTGTTGCTCAACAATATCCCCTCCCACATCACCCACAAAGTTGTGGAAGATCTCTGGTCTCTCCATCAGTTTTTCTGAGACAAGATCAACACTGCCAATTAAGCCTACTCCAAGCATGCCAATGCCTGATGCAACCCCACCCCCAACTGGACCCCTGAAACTCTGGTATGGCTTAATCAATGCAATCTCAAGACTCAGAGGCCCTCTTTTAAGCTTGATCACAAACAGCTTCAAGATTCTCTGAAAGGTCTCAGCCCATGCATACAAGCTTGACCTACCTCTGGGCCTGAAAGGCCTCTATCCAGTCTTCCACATCCAACTCCTCAGAAAGTATGCTCTAGATCCCTTCCCCAGACATTGCCCCAGTCAACCACTCCCCATCAAAGTTGAGGACAAGTACCACTACAGAGTCAATCACATCCTCAACTCCCACCTTATCTGCAGGTGCCTAGGAAAGCACAAACTTCAGATAGCAACTTGCAAGGGCCACAGTGCTTGAGTAGGGCTAAGTGACTTTCATCTGGAACACAACCACTAGGTGTGCAAATGTGTCCAAGGATCTTGAAGGTTGGGGTGCACAGGACAAGTTGGTGACCAGAAAATGTTCCACCACAATACTTCATTTGCTGGAGAATTTAGTTAAGAAGTTCAAAGAAATCCCATAGTGCTAAACAAATATTTGGGTTAGCAGGATGCTTAGTGGTTATGCTATTAACAAGTTTCCAGTGCTTGGGACCTTTGGCACCAATGTTGTCAATGAAGCTGCATATGTTGTGAGGTAATTCAGGTTGTAGGATGTAGGTAATGCTGTCATGGAAGATTGGTACAGAGTTGGTCTGACCCATTGGTAAGGTCACCAAGCAAAGTGCACCAAAGGGAGTTTGGAATGTTGTTAAGTCCCATGATGCTGGATCAATTAGTTGCTCATTGTTACCAACATAGAGGTCTAGCATAGTGCTCCAAATGTGTCCAGCAAAAGATTCAGCAACATGATCTGGAAAAGAGGGAACTCCAGAGTGGCAAATGGTGACACAGTTTAGCAGCTCTAGACTGTGTATAATCCTGAGCTTACCATTCTTCTTGAGAACACAGAACTAGCAAGATCAGTAAGCAGAGTTTGAGGCTTCATAAATGCCAGCCTTGATCTTATTGCAAATTATTTCACAAACTTCCTTCTCTAGTCCTGGGAGTATGGAGCAGTTGTGCTGAACCAAAGGGACATGGGGAACAGTCAGTATGCATACTGGCAGAAAGAAGTTGGGGTGCAAGCTTCCTCAAGCAGAGTCTTCCCAAGCAAATGCCTTTTCTTGTTTAGTGACAAGGTCAACAAGTACATTAAGTTTGTTGCTAGTGAGGAAATTTGTGTCATGTTCTTTAACAAACTTTGCTTGTTGGTTGCTAGTGATTTGCTGGGTTGGTACACATGGCAGAGGGTTTGGGTCAAGTGTTGGCATAGTTGCTAAGGGATTGCCAATGATGTGTTGCTCAATTCTAAAGTTTTTGCTAATGTGGCCAGTGACAGGTTTGGTCTTCATGGCAACTGGTTTGTACTTCTTCTTCACCTGGACTCCTTCTCTTTTAGCAGTATTTTCAGCAACATACTGAGCAGGGAAAGGAACATGCACATAGGTTGGGGTATCGTCTGTATCATTGTATTGATGGAAAGTGTCTGTCCAAGAATCAAAGGAATAGAGGAGTCAGTAGATACAAGATATGAGTGGGGAGGTATTGAGAAGTCAGAAAGGTCACAAGCTGTAGCATAGAGGTAAGCTAGGGTAGGTTCTGTCTGTGTGCAAGATTCAGTAAGTAAAATATTTTTGTCCAAATCACAAGAAGCTATACAAGTTGCTAGACAAGTTGAATGGTCATAGCTGATAACAATTGCTATTGTCTTTGGTGATGAAAGCAAGGGAGTGGTTCCATTTCATAGCAAACTTGTTGGCAATTGTTTCTTTTGGACTTGCATGGAAATGTTGGTATAGTTTGTCACATGCCAGTATTTGGATCAGTAATAGTGATGGTGGTCTCAGTGTTGCTAAGGTTATTGACCACACTTCTTGTTAAAACATTGAAAGGGCAACCAAGCAGAATGTTGTAGGTGGGGGACTGTAATACATGGATCTGAAGATACAATGTTATGTCACCAATGGTACAAGGAATGTTACAAACAAGTCCTAGCAATTGATCCAAAGTTCTGTTAGTGCTTTGCATGTTCAACACAATGTTTGGGTTGTAGGATAGGCCAAGGTTGCTAGTGATTTTGGCAGACATAGAAATGATTTGAGAACTGCTATTTGTGATGCATTCTATTTCTTTGCAATTGTCAATTAGCATCATAATGGACCAGAGTGACTGAGAATCCTTAGCAACAGTGAGCACTACAGGCCCTTCTCCAGGGGGCAGCAAGTCTATGTAGGCTTCCACAGGGTCTACTGATGCACCTTGGGCCTGATCTGGATGATGATGATGATGATGATTCTTTTTATTTATCTTTAAGGCCTATTTTACACATGACCTTCGTGTCCTAAGCCCTGCAGTATGTAATGGGGGTGGTAATTACGGACACTCCTACTAGTTCTCCGGCCCGATCCCTTTTCAGCTGATGCCGGTTACGCCTCATAGCCACTTTACTACGATTTGACTTCGTCGGAGTTCATACTACTTCTCACACCTAAGTCCCACTACCATCTGCCGTTAACGTGCCCTCCCAATTTCTAAACCCAGCTGTACTCGGCAATGCTTACTGTGTGCGCGCTGGTATTGTCCCACGATGAGGCGCTCGGCCAGCTCATAGCCTCCCACTCCCACGCACCAGTAAGGGCTTCACGACTAACCCTTCCCCATGCCCAGACGCTACTTTCGGAAGATCAAACCCGAGATTCGGAACCCGCGACGGAATGAGCCAGTGGGCCGCCTATTGGCCCCAGAGGACTTGTAGTGACAGACATGCCGCACCTTTCGGCTAGACACCCGATCAAACCACAGTCATGGTCGGATTATCCCGGACCGCACCGAACCCATCCGATGGACCACACATTGCATCGGCAGCCTGTTCAAACTATTGACTCCTATCCTCACGCCTACCCGTGCCACGACCCGCTTGGTCAGCGAAGGCCTGGACCCTCTCCCAAATCCGTCGCACCGGGGAAACTTCTCTTTTTCTGATCTGTCACGAGCGTGGTGGTCACATTGCCTCATTGAACCACGTGCTGATTGCTCGGTCCTGGTCGGCCTGCACTACAAAGCCTGGCTAGTCAAGCACGTGCGGGCGGAGGCTTCCCAGCGGCGTTGAAACAACCCACGTGGTGTCTAAAGTGTTTTCCACACAGGCGCACTCAGCCAGAGTCGAAACCCCGGCCTTGCACTCGCAAGTCACATGACCCGCTTTGGGACGCGATGGTGCCAGCTGAGCCACCGCGCCCCCTGGGCCTGATCTGGAGTTAGTCCATTAGTTGTTGTGATGTTAGATCCTAGCAAAAACTGAGGATGGTCCATAGCAAATGTCAGTAATGCTTCTTCAAAGATGTTGCTTGGGTCCTGTACAGTGTTGGTGTTTGCTCCAGTGAGTTGCTTAGGCATAACAGCTGTCCTGAACTGATTCCTGATATCTTGTGATACTGAGCAGAGTTTGCCAACTGAGACTGTAACCTTAGTGCTTAAATCCCTTTCAAATACTGCTTTGGACTGTTCAATGTTGTAGATGGGTGGCATAGTTTGATAAGTGCCATCATTAGCTCTGTCAGGGGCAGCAAAGTTTTGATTAGTGGGAGGAACATAGCAACCTGGAATGCTGGAGAATGGATGGACTGCAGGCTGAGTGATGGTTTCCTTGGCAACTGGGGTTTTGTTGGTGACAGATTGCTCAGATGCTTTGCCTTTGTCAGCTGGCTTAGAGCAGGAGCTGGTACAGAGTCAGAAGGGGATGTATTTACCAGAGTGTTGCTAGTCATTGGTGTTGCTTTGGAGGTGTTGGGTAAGGTGCATGAGGGACTTGTACACCATCAAACTTTTTGCCTGATTGTTGTAGTGCAAATAATTCTTGTTCCAAAGCCTCAATGTGTTCTTCCTTTGTTAGTGATTGTCCCATAGCAATATCCTGTTGTTGTGGATCAGTGACTGCTGCATAGCCACTTACTCAGGATCAGGACTGGTGTTGGATGAGAGCCTGCTGGTAATGATTTGGCCTGGGTTGAGATGGTGCCACTCCTTAATGTGTTCCATATAGAGTCATTTGCCAAAATAGTTAGGAACCATGTTCAGCTTGTCCCACCTTCTCATCCTATACCAGATTCTTGTCTGCATTGCAGAGTATTGGATTGAAGCTTCAATTGGCTCTTGCTGGAAGTTAGAGTAGAATTTTCATTGGTACTCATGAAACTTGTTTAGGGGTAGGAATGAGTAATTTGTATTGTACTCATGGCCTTAACCTAAAACCAATTCATACCATGCAAAATACATTTCTTCATCTCACAAAAAAAAACATAAATAATTTTTATCAACAAGCAGTTGGCTTTGTCAACTCAAAACACCTCGCATTATTTTGGAAGTATACTGTTGATAGTCAATGTCCTTTCAACAATGAGCATAAAAAGATCAATCACCATGCAAACAGAATCCTGAATAAATACTGTTTGTTCAATTATCATCTCCCAAAAGGCCTTGGCTTCAATGAAAAGATCTGTCCTTGATGTACTACGGACTCTGGTAGCTGACAGATACTAACTTCCAGAACGATCACATAATCGGGTATGGTGTAACGGCTAACATTGCCGCCTTTCATTTCTTCTATAGCATTAATGTTTGCGCGGCAGCTCGGGGTTCGATTCCCCGTACCCGAATGTTTCACCACTTATCCTACTTTCTTCATTTTTTCTGACGACTAGGCCTACCGAGGTGTTTCTTTATCGTTCTAATGATAACATTGTTTTCTCTCCCATTTTTGTTCTGGTTTTGCCTTTTTTTTTGGATAATTTGTTGCTACTTGCTACGACTAAACTCGTACAAGTACCAGACCATAAAATTAAGGGCACTCGCAGCCGGTCGGGTGTGCTACCTGGATGTATGTATACACTTCAACCAGAAGAATATTCACACAATCGGGTGTGGTGCAACGGCTAACATTGCCACCTCTCATTTCTAAGGTGATATGAGATCCTTACGCGACAGCTCGGGGTTTGATTCTCCGTACCCAAATTAATGAGCGCATGCATTAGCTTCTGAATCTTTATGGTTTCGGTATGACTCCAATGACTGAACGAGCTCACAAGGAAAGTGTGATGAGGATAGACATACAATTGGCCATCCCAACAACGGCTCGGTATTGTTGATTGTAACTGAAACTCTTCACATGTGAACTTGGCCGTTGGTCTACGCGCTCAGGTGTTTCAACGGCATCTCGGGGTTCGAATATATTCCCTACTTTCATATTTTTGGGTTTGTTGTTTGTGCTACTTGCTATGACTGAAACTCACTCGTACAACCCCATTTCATGACCCAGACACATCTGACGCGTGGTGCTTAGGACGTAGAACACTTAGGAAAGGATGTAGGAATAGTCGGGTATGGTGTAATGGCTCGACATTGCCGCTTCTCATTCGTTTCGAGATTTTGAATCTTTCCGCGGCAGCTCGGGGTTCGATTCCCAGTACCCGAATTTCAGTGGTTCTCTAACATTTTTTATCGGCTACTCGTCCATGAAGACGAGATCAAGGCGACCTTGATTCCAATAACGAAACGATACGATACAATACGATACGACACGAAACGATACAACAACTCCCATCTCCGAATCAGAATCACTCTATGGATGCATTTCCTTTTTTCTTTTTGCTTTTTGGCCACTCTCGTTCATAAAAAAATGCAATAAACTCCCAGGTCGGTCGACGTTGATCCTCCCAGCCACGCAAAAGCAACCAAACGGGATGGTATGGTACGTACGGTTCTTCATCTACATCGTATGTCCTTATGCGTAACTGGGGCAAACCTAGCACTCGGGTATGGTGTAACGGCTAACATTGCCGCCTCTCATCGGAGACTTTGAATGGTTACGCGGCAGCTCGGGGTTCGATTCCCCGTACCCGAATGGATTAGGACATTACAGGAAGTAATCTTTTTATTAGCTACTCGTTCATGAAAAACAACACCAACACAAAGCCGAGTCAAGAAAGACAAAGGAAAGCATGTACGTTCGTCATTCGTGATAGGGAATTACATTTAGTTCATCTCACAACACACACATCACGTAGCCATATCATAGATCTGGATAGTAGTACTGAGCTTGGTTTCAGACTGATCAGTATGAGTGGGATAGCATGCTAACCACTCATTACAGGTCAAGACAACCATCAATACATCAGATAGTCGTTACGTTGTAAGCATTGGCATGTGAATACCTCTTTAGAAAAGCATACTACAAAATCAAAACAACAACTTGAACTACATTTTCGAGGGTCAATTTGAGTCAGCGCATCTGTACAGCCCAAAAAAAATGATGGTCCACCCACGGTTATTAATTCGAAGATTCCCTGTGAGTAATAAGTAAGTATGAGAATACTTCGCTTTCGAAAGGTACTGGTACCAACCGAGGGAGCAGGACGACTCTCCTACTCTTCTGGATGTCCAGCCCATCCTCCTTGAAGTACCTGTGACTCTCGAAGCTCCAAGAATCATGTCCCCTGGTCCAGTAAGCCAGGCCATCCAGGTAGTGTTTCACTTGGTCATCGAACTCTTTACCAAAAGATGGGACATGGCATAGGTCCTCCAAGAAATTGTGTACAAGCTTTGAGCAGTAATCACCAACCCACTTCATTGTTTCGTTCAAACCGATATTTTCTTGATGCATCACGACAGCGACCGCGTTATGAATATCACCACGGGCTTGCTCAATATTGTAGGAATACATATCCTAGTCAAAGTTCAAAATGGAATATAGACGGTCGAGAGAATACAGAGATTACATTCATGAGTATAGACAGATCACGGCAGACATCAGTGAGTCGCCGAATAACCGGATCTTCAAAGACCTCGTCCGGAAGATCGAGTGTGAATTGAATAGGCATGAATGTCGCGTTCATTGCGGCCGTAGAACGGCGGAGAATAATATAATCATCAATGTTCCTGATGGAGCTTTGAGCACGATCATGGGCTTCTTCGACAACTGCAGTAGTGTATTCGTCGAGCGCTTCGATGAATCGACAGCGAACACTCTCGGATACACACTTCAATGACGACTGCGAGAATCTAGATGAGGACACAAAACAATCAATTTCGAGAACCTCTGAATACATTCGGGACTTACTGGCGGCTAATCTCTCCAATTACACACTCTTCGGCTGGCCTGGGTTTGTTAGGATTGCGTAAAGCATCCATGACAATGGTGGCCAGTCCCCGAGCGTCATGAGGCATCGCAACGTCTGTGTAATCCTCGAAAAATGTGTACAGAACCATGAGATCACAACACGCGCGAAGGACGTCTGCATACCACAGATATATAATTGATAAGAATGAGCAGATCATTCTGAGCTAGCAGAGAAGTATACCTTTGTTCTCCAGAGGATACATGAGAGCAGAGAGCAACCCTAATGATAGCAAAACAATTTAAACAGTCCTCTGGCCTAGATAGACAGACAAGGCTCACCAATCTTGCAGAAATCCATTGCTTGTTGTATACGGTGTGGGATTCCATCAAAACTTTGGATCCATGCTGACCATTCTGCTTCGGCCTGCAGGTAGTGTGGATTGAGAATGCGCTTCCAGGGCCATTGCAAAAGAGGATCAGGGAGAATGAAGACGGCTTCTGAGGGGTCAGTGATAATTTTTCAGTATGCCTTCCGAATCTTGTAGGGAAATGCTCACCAGATCCCTTTATTTATAACTGGAAAAGACAATTAGGAACCATTGCCTCTAAAGATAATATGACAGCTTGAATTCAATGGACAGCTAGAATTCAGTGGACAGCTCGAATTCAATGGACTCTGATGACTACCAAGTCGTAATGAGGACCCCGTTCAGGCAGGACTTGACCAAAGTGGCCTCTATTTAGAGTTTTAAACTAATAGAATTGCCTCCCATGGGTTCCTCCGCTGACTATCTGGAAAACCTGGTTACCCCATTGTTATTCACTATAGTCGAGCTACAAAGCAAATAGATTGTGGCCAATGATGCCGCTGTAAGTGCGTCGAACGTGCGGCCCGACAAGTACAACTCGCACTGAGATATCTCTGCATCATGATTGTGTGATTGAAATCATTAGAACAGATCGTTTCAACAACCTGGTCTGAAGCAAGGACTCTGACAACAATCTGATCCGAGGTCAAGCAGCGAATCGGAAATCTTGAGGGGTTCTATTTTTCGAAATAGATGCCTTAGGATCAGCACAAATAACCCCCTTAGAGTGCCATAAAGAAGCACAAAGTGTGCTGCCAGGTCATTGCTGGCAGGATGGTGGGTGGTTGTTGATAGCACTTTTAGGGGGTTATCTATGTTTATGTGAAGTACCCTAAGGAGACCAACCATATCTTGACCATACCTCTTCTCAAAGCTGAGATTCATGATTGGGCCTGGTCAAGGACAGTTGGATAGCCCTGCATCAATAGTACTTGTGGCCCAAAGATAGGAGGATGGGAATGAGAGGCAGGCCAGGAATAAGAAAAACAAAATGATTGAATGGAAATGACTGGTCCTGTGACATCACCCCCCTCTAGCATGCAGCATCTCAATGCACTGGGTAAAAGAAGTTGAGGACTGCTTGATCAGCTCAGTATAGATGGAGGTACTATTCCAACTTCTGGTTAACTTGTTCCATTTCCCCATTTGACTGAGGATGGTATGCAGAGGTTGTGTGGAGCTTCACCCCAAAAAGATGATACAACTCCCTAGTGAACTCTAGCCACAAACTGAGAACCTTGATTAGAGATGTATCCATCTCAGAGACCAATGTAGCTTTCAGACATTCTTCTGATATAGGCTAGCAGCACACATGGCAGAGCAGGTGGTATGAGTGGGGATGAAATGGGCCTGTTTGCCCTAGAGGTCCACTACCACCCATGAAGCTAGAGTGCCCTGCTACCTGCAAGTTGTGGTGCTGCTCCATGACGTGTTGGCAGAGCTTGGAGATATTAGGAACATAGATATGTTCTTGGAAGGTCAGGAGCTCATCTTGCAAGGCCCACTTGTCCACATCACTAACTTGAACTCACTAGTCTGTTGAGTCTGCAGGGCCTGAGCAGCCTGTGATACTACATCCTCTTGTGCACCCTCCTGGTTTCCTTGTCAAATGTTCTCAAGGATGTTTGCTCCATCCCCTTGGACCACAATATGAAGAGTTCTAGTATGAGGAGGACAATGCTGTCATTGTCACCAGTTCCATTACTATGATCTGCTTGCCAAAACAGCATGTCTGGCATGCTCATGCTCCTTTCAGGTTTGTGATTGCAGTGAGAAGTTGAAGTTGGCCAGGTACACTGGTTGCAACCAATAGTTTTTCCTGAGGAAAAACCAAGAAAGAAACCTGTCATGCCATTTCCAAACAGTGTATTTCCAATGGAAAAAGGCTCTAAACAATGGGAAAAGCTCAGCTTCTCATCACTCAGCCTCCTCTGTTGACTCCAATTATGCTTGGACTTCAGTGGCTGCAGGACTTCAATCCTGATATTGACTGGAAGAACCTCACCATATGATTTCCCAGCCCCAAAGCAAGCCTAGCGGCCACTATCCCCCTCCACCTCCAGTCCAGCTTGGACTCTGATGTCCCTGGCCCTGATGCCAACACTTCCAGAGCAACCCAAAGCCCTTCAACTCTCAATGGCAACCAACAAAGTGAAGACAATGCACCTCCACCTCAGTCACCCTTGAGCAAATTGTGATGGCTGCCCCCCAACATACCCTGGAATTGATACAAAGATCCACAGTACCCCAACCAATGATGCCCAATCTCTGAAAAGCCCTGCCACCACTCCAGACCCAGCCACAACTATCCCATTGCCCACCCCCATCAATCCTGGAGACCTCAACATCAAAATCATCAGCACCATCCTCTTTGCACACCTTTTACAAGATGGCACACCTGCCTTCCAGCTGCAGATCATGCCAGCCCTATCAGAAGAATACCTCCATGCAGGAACTACCCTGCTAGAATGCCCAATGAAGGAGCAGATTCTATACAAAGTAGTTCTCCTGGAGTACCATGAGTTTGCTGACATATTCTCTGAAGGGAGTGCCAAAGAACTTCCTCCACATCATTTCTATGACCACAAGATCAATCTTGAAGAAGGAACTTCCCCCCCATTTGGCAAAATCTACAATATATCCAAGATTGAACTCTGGGCCCTAAAAGATTACCTCAACAACAAAAGGTTTCATACACCCATTGATATCTGCCACTGGTGCTCCAGTCCTATTCATCAAGGAAAAGGACAGATCACTCAGACTTTGTGTTGATTATCAGGGACTCAACAAAGTCACCAAAAAGAACCGGTATCCTCTCCCCCTGATTGGAGACCTTGTTGACTGCCTCCACAGTGCCAAGATCTACACAAAAATAGACCTCCACTCTGGCTACAACAATGTCTGGATTGCTCTGGGACATGAATGGAAGACTGCCTTTTGCACCTGCTATGGCCTCTTTGAGTATCTATTGATGCCCTTCAGAATGACTAACTCCCCTGCCACTTTTCAGTACTTCATGAACAATATCTTCTATGACATGAACAATGTCTTTGTTATTTTATACCTGGACAACATACTGATCTACTTGAATTCACTGGAGGAGCATCTGGAGCATGTCTGCCATGTCCTAGAAGAACTCTGAGAATACCACCTTCACACCAAACCCAAAAAATGCTCCTTCCATACTATGGAGGTCAAATACCTTGGAGTTATTGTCACCCCTGACAGTGTATGTATGGACCCTGCCAAGGTCAAAGCCATCCTCAACTGGCCTCTGCCACAGTACATCAAGGAGGTACAGTTGTTTCTGGGATTTGCAAACTTCTACTGCCAACTCATTGACAACTACTCTGGAATTACCAAACCTCTCAACCAGCTCATGCAGAAAGACACTCCTTGGGACTGGGACAGCAAGTG